ATTTATATAAAGGGATATAATAATTATAAAAATAACAATAAGACTTTTTATAACAGTTAAGCTATGATTATTTATAGATTAAATTATGGAGAGAAATGAGAGACATGAATGACTAAAAAAATGTATAAATAAATATACAGATTCATTTTCATTCATGTTTAATTTAGTGTGGAATAGTCAGTTGAATTGAAGTTGAAGTCCTTTGCTTGGATGCTGCTTTGACAGCCGAAAAGGATTACGAGCATTGAGAGGAAACCGCTTTGAGGCGGTTCAATGGGGTTTGCATTGTTGTCCAAGTTCATTAGCTGGAACAGACGTCCTCAGTCTGACATTGATGGATGCGAATGTGAATGCGAATGTGAATGTGAATATGGATGTGAATGTTGGACTGTGAATAGCTTGCCCACAGGATGTGCCTTGGCATCACTTAGATGGAATTTTGTTTTCACCGTCTTGCCGTTTACTGACCCTAAACAAAAGCAAATTGATGCTGCTTAAAAGCTTATAAATTACAGCGACCGCCTAATGGAACCACTTAAGTAGCAGTCGTCGACTATGCCAAGAGAAAGATTCTTAATCTGTTTCATAAAGCGATAAGAGTATATTGAGGAGCTAATGCCCGTTCATTCAACAGAGAGTTTAAACTTGGATTTTACAGCTGCGTACACTCAACTGGGATAAAGCTAATACTTAATCTTAATGAAAGTATATATATTTAAGCCTTTGAGTTAATGAATTGGAATATTCGACTAGCCGATCCGAACGAGGATCTTGCAGTCGTTAGCATTTCAATTCGAATTCCTTCCTTCATTTATTATAAGACCTTTTAAAGGCAATATTTATAGTATATACCGATAAAATATAATGCTTAAGTATTCAATGGTCCTTTGAGCGAGTATTATGCAGTCACACACACTCACACTCTCTCGATTCGCTCTCTTGATTTCTTGCAAAAAATCGGCTTTCAAAATGGCAAACAGAAATTGCATACAAAAGTTTTTGTATTTTTTGGGCAGGGATATTCAGTTAAGTTCATGGCCAATGCCGTGTGCAAAGCAAAGTAAGCGAGCGACAATTGATTGACAAGTTGGCCAAGACGTTCGCAGGGGCGTGGCGGTGGGCGGAGAGGGCGACTGCTGGTTGGTTGGCAACATGCGTGGCTCACAGCACGCGTCGGAAGAGAGCTCGTTGAGCTTTTTATATACTTAAAAATAAGTTAATTAAAAATATATCACAGCACACACACATACATATGTATATATGTACATGCGAGGGTAAATATACAGCATCGTTGATCACAGATGATGATGACAATAACAACAAAAATCAAAGCGACAACAACAACAAMGGCAACGACAACAACCTCAATTACCTTGAAAATGTAAATGTAATTAAATAAATGCAACAGATGGTATGCTTGACTACGAAATACCTTAACAAAATGGGAGAAGTTTAAAATGACAGTTGCTCCTGTCAGTCAACTGTTTCTATGCAAAATATAAAGGGAATAAAACAGGTTAAAATATACTGAAATACAACAAAAATTATCAAACGAACATCCAAAGGTCACAGAAAACAAAAGAACAAATTACATTAATTAAATATAAGAAGCACATCCTTTACTAATCTATTATATATTCATAATAAGAATTCTATCTGTACATTAACTACAATATATGTATATCTTATCTTACATATCAAATCTAGATACTAATTAAGAATAACTTTGCAATTAGAAAGCATTGTCTCAGTCAATGATAATAGTACAAAATGACCTCTTTCTAGCATCAAGAAATAACCTCTCAAACTGAGTGGGCAGATTATCAACCAGATAAGCTCTGCAGATCTTGGGTAAATTTTTTGGTCAGCTCACTCTGTGTGCCTTCCAACTGCCACAAATAAGAGCATTGGATAATTTCTGGCTACTGCATAGGTTGACGAAGATGAATTTTTGTCTAGCTGAGCTCAAGAATTTCGCATTTGCAATTTTGGCACAGCAAAACAAGAAATTCAAACAAGATAAACAGAAATTATAATGAAATCAAATAGATACATCAGAGAGGTGGGCTGCCAATTAAGAGCTTCATTAAGTGGCCTAACAAAACATGTAGTTAAAGTGTGTACTTTAGCAGATGTTTGTAGATATTTTCAACTAGATACATAATATAAAATATACTAGACAGGAATATTTTATTATTATATACGAGTGCATTACTTATACTATAAACATTACTGATCTTTACAAAATTCCCTAAAATACAGAAGGTTTTGTAGCAGCAATAGCAGATGCAAATGACATTGCATTAGGCATTATCACCCACACTGTCATCTTTATTTATTTATTTTTTTTTTTTCAGATTATTCATATTTTTAATTTAAATATTAATGTTGCTATTATTTATATTTAATTTTTATTATTATCTTTTAGCTCTCACTTATGTTCATCTGCTCAGATTTAACTCTACACTATGCGGTCTTCAAAAATGCTACAGATTTTCTTCTTTTCATTTTCTTTTTATATATCTCAACGTATCAGCCCATTACATGTATTAATATATAGACCATTAGTGACTAAAAAATCAAATTATACTACATGCATGTACATTCATTTACTTGTTGAACTTGATGAGGGGCTGAGGCACAGTGGTACAAGATCATTAAAATTACTTAACTTTTTTATTTTTTAGTAAATGCTTAAAAAGAAGTTAACTTAGAAACATTTAACAAAATAAATTGAAATATAATAAAAGAT